AATGCCAAGAATCCCATAGTGAACCATTATTGCTAATTTGCATAACAATCAAAATCTTTAATTAACAATGAATACATTTTCACTTGCAGTTTTCATTCAGCAACATATACTTTTATTTCAGGAATTTAAAGAATTCCTTTGTCAAATATATGCATTTGGGTCATTTTAACTTGAGTATGTTGAGTACTTATGTCTCGTTCACTTAACCCATTATAGTTCTCATCCCAGCTTCCTCCTCCTCCTAGCTGTTGTAGAAGAAGTTCACTTGGCACTATGCTGACACCTACTCTATGTTGTTACTGTAGCAAAGTAGTATAACAGAAAATGGCCGCACTGCCTGAACACATATGGTTTGCAAATAACAGTACAAAGACAACAAAACAAGCAGTAGTTATTTGAAAGTGCTCTGATTTGTCTCTCTGTGCAGGGATAACCTGCACCTGCTGGAGGAGGGTCAGGGAATACTGAGGGAGGAACTGGATGAGCGTATCGCCCGTGAAGAGTTCCGTCGCCCCCGTGAGTCTCTGCTTAACATCTGTACAGAGTTCTACAAGCACTGTGGTCCGCGTCTCAAAATCCTGCAGAATGTGGCAGGAGAACCCAGAGTCACTGCTCTAGAACTGCTGGATATCAAATCTCATATGAGGTAAAACAAAGACTACCTAAAGACGTTTGAACATTTGGGAGCCCGATGGAGCAAGCAAGTCACAGCATACATTTGTAAACTATGTGTTTTGCAGATTGGCAGAAATCGCCCACTCCCTTCTCAAATTGGCCCCGTATGACACACTGACCATGGAAAGCCGAGGACTGCGCCGCTACATCACAGAAATGTTACCCATCACTGATTGGTCAGCAGAGGCAATTCGTCCTGCTCTCATCCTCATTCTAAAGAGGCTGGACCGCATGTTTAACAAGATTCATAAGATGCCCACACTCAGGTGCGTTCATCCTCAGGCTCTGTGCACCAGGTATGTCCTCAAGCTGATGTCTAGCCCTCCACCATCTGTGTTTCTGTCTTCACTGGTGGAGCTCCGCTTTTGTGCTTTGGTGTTGTTCTTTGGTTTCCATTGTCTCATTATGATTTAAAAATAAAGTTGACTAAATGGTGGACTTAATGTTGTAAAGCAACAAGTTTGCCTAAGAATATTATATCTTGCTTTTGTGTACATGCTGTG